TTGTGCAGTGGTATCAGTTTATACGATATTATTGCCCTTGGAGCAGTGTTGAGGGTTTAAGGGACCTCTAGGATTATTCAGGGGAATTCATGAGAGCAGGCAGTTGATGGGTTAATAGCCTTGCTGAGGTAAGTGTGTGCTCACAGTAGTCCTTTGCAACGGTTGCAAGATAAGGGGGCAGTAATATTGGTATACTCTTGTGTGTTGCACAACCGTGTGTCATTATTGTGTGGGCACAGTAATTGTTACGGCCCTATTGAGTCACAACTGGGTTCTTTCTCTGATGTTAGTAGAGTTTGGGTATCCGGCCCCAAGCTAGTAGTGGCTTTCAAGGGGTGCGTTCCGTAACGCAAGTAAATTAAAGGGGAAGGGAGACAAAGGCACTAAACTTAAATATATAATTACACCACCACCATAAATAAATATATAAACAGTCACACGGGGGGCATAAACACTATAATATACAGAATGGTCTTCCTCTGAAGACGCAGGAATGTTCCACGGTGCTCGAGAGCAGTAGCCCTGGTCCTCTTCTTGTGGCCTCACGTTGAATCCTTCGAGTCTCTCAAGTCTACCCTGGCCACAGGCCAGCCACATCACAGTTCCACTGGGGGCACCGTCGTGGAGGCACAACGGTGCCACAAATCAAGCCTGTAGCTGGCAGGTTCCAATCAGTTCCGCTGGTTAGGCCACTCCACGACCGATACTAGGGTTGCGAGCCCTAGGCAGGAGCCTCGTGTGATTTCACAGATCACTCTCCGCACCACAACACCCCAGTGGCTAGTCTTCTCCACCAGTCAGCCCCGGGTACAACAATCCCTGGTTCTGCCATCTCACAGGCAGGCTAACACAACAGTGTTCATCCGGGGGGTGACTCACAGCTTCAGCAGCAAATGCATGGAGGTTCTACAGCTGCCTTGGGTAGACCCTCTATCGTTCTTTTCCAGCAGTCCCAGGTTGACTCTGTAATCAGACACGTCATCAGTACTAGGGACACCCTAGGGCACCTCACTTACGGGCTTAGACACAAACGCCCACCTATCCACTCCATAGATGGCGTTGCTGTCTAAGCGTCACCTCACCAGAGGTCAGCAGCAGCTATGTCACTAGCTGATTAGGACGGGAAACCAGCCCCTGTGGCCGGTATATCCTGTCCTCACTAGATGGCGCTGTCCATTTGGAGGGGGTTTCGGGAGCTGACCCACAGATGGCGTGGTCGTCACAGCTCCGTGCTCGGACGCTGGGCTCGGGTCCATAACAGTAATTAACAAGTTGCAGTAGCCGCAACTGTATGTGGGCAGTGCATTTGTGTTGTTGCATGCCATTGTAGTGTGACCTATGTAACGCTGGGGTTACTTTGTTTCTTTAAGTTGTGTTGAGGACTTAAGGATTCAGTGAGTTAATAATTGGGGAATTAGCTGGATAAGGGGTGCACACTTATGGTGGAGTGAGTGAGGGCTGTTATGAGAGAGAACAGCGTTGAGCTTGAGTGAGATACGTCTCGAGAGCAATTAATTGTCCGTGTGACAACTAATTCACCACTCTAGCTAATTATGTAATTAGCCTTCTCATCATGAATTCACGTAGTGGGAGAGGATCTGTCAGAGTAGGTCAGTATTTGTGTTAACGTAATTTGCTCGAGACTAATTACCTTTCTGGGGTATAGCAATTAGTGGCTCATGTTAATTAGTGGAGTAATTAACATCGGAGGGCTCCGATGACTCGGTAAAGCGAGGTCATGGAGCTAGCATAAATCGTTGTATTAATCATATCCTGTCTGAAAACAGTGGATTAGTGGCACATCTTGTTAATTAGGTGTAATTAACTCCTTTCCCGTGAATTTACAGTGTTTGATGAGACCTGCTTAGGCAGTGCGGAGTGAGACGTATTTATGGATGATTAATTATCGGTCCTGGTGACAGTTAGTTAATTACTCGGAGTTAATTAGGGTAATTAACACTCACTAATAATTTTTTGACACAGACTGTTGAGAAGCTACCAAGTTAGGGTAGGCTTAGTTAACGTAACTCAATGGGGATGTAATTAGTGGTCCGTTTGACCTTAATTGAGGATTACTCACTGAATACTTGATAGGAGTCAAGTGTGATGTAATATAAGTTTGAGTTATTGTTAACAAGAGAGACAAGTGTTAATGATTAACGTCGAGTATCATCATGATACTCGACGTCTAGTGTGAGACAATTGTTTGTGATTACCGTAGTACTTTGTTGCTGACTGCTGCGATCAGTCAATTAACGTAATTAATCACTTAAGGCAATTTCTTTTGGTTGTCGTCTGGTGACGAGAGTAGAGTAATCTAGGGAGTTGTGGAGCTGTGTCCCAGAATCTCGCCTTGCCTGTCTTTGTTACTATTTACAGGGCAACTTCTTGTAGGGAGTTGCAAAGAGTGTTCACACTGGGTTGTGATAGGGGTGGTCACTGTTGGACTACCCGCCTAGTAACGTGGGTCTCTCCTGGGGGGCAGGAGGACCCCTAAGCTTGTGATTATAGTAGCTGTCAGGGAAACCGAGACACTATTGATTGTATGCTTGTGTCTTCAGTGGATATCCTTCATTTGTTCAGTTAGTTCATGTTGTCAGCCCGAAGTGTCAGCAAGATGGAGCCTGCTGTCACTTCTCGAGGGGCTGTTGAATAGCTGTGTTGCAAATCCCACTTGGTGGACAATAACGTAACCATTCGCTATGGTGTAACTTAGTCTGTGATATTTTTCTTTGATTTGCAATATTGCGTCATCAGTGGGCACACCTGTGTTCAGGTTAGTTCAGTATGCAGCCGCACAGCAAGGGTTGCTATTTAGCTGGTTGTTATCGTGCCACTGGATGGACATTAACGTAACGTAAACTCGGTAATGTAGTAGTTAGTCTCTTGTTATTAATAAATTGTTATGTTATAGAAAACGGTCTTTGATGTCAACCCTTCAACCATATTATTCCACCATATTTCTGCATATTACGATTAAATGTTGATGTGATCTTGAAATGACGGCTGTTTTTGGGAATTCGAATTCCAATTCATAGCGCCACATCAAATATAAATATTTGATTGTGAGAACCCGTCGGTTACCCTTTATTAGTTTTAAGGTCCTGTTTAACTAGGAGGAGCCAGCGGCCTATTGTGGACAGGTTTTCACCTCTAGTGGTGGAGGCCTGGCGGTTTTCTCCCGCTTTTCCTTTTTCTATTGGACTCATGCTTAACTGCCGTGAGCAGACTTTAAACTTGTAGTCCACCTCCTGAGGGAGGTAGGCGTAGAAAAAAATCTCACACCCAGAGACAGGATGTTCTTAGTGGCGGGCCTCAGAACGTAGAACAGAGAATCATATGGACATTTTGATATGTATGAGGGAGTGCTTGATTGCAAACGGCATGAAAGTCAGGTCCATGGATGGTGAGTGTTAGTCAGGTTCACGGATGGTGAGTGTTTGTCAGGTCCATGGATGATGAGTGTTAGTCAAGTCCATGGATGGTGAGTGTTAGGTCCATGGATGGTGAGTATTAGTGAGGTATATGGATGGTGAGTATTAGTGAGGTCCATGGACGGTGAGTGTTAGTCAGGTCCATGGATGGTGAGTGTTAGTCTGGTCCATGGATGGTGAGTGTTAGTCAGGTCCATGGACGGTGAGTGTTAGTCAGGTCCATGGATGGTGAGTGTTAGTCAGGTCCATGGATGGTGAGTGTTAGTCTGGTCCATGGATGGTGAGTGTTAGTCAGGTCCATGGATGGTGAGTGTTAGTCAGGTCCATGGATGGTGAGTGTTAGTCAGGTCCATGGACGGTGAGTGTTAGTCAGGTCCATGGATGGTGAGTGTTAGTCAGGTCCATGGATGATGAGTGTTAGTCTGGTCCATGGATGGTGAGTGTTAGTCAGGTCCATGGATGGTGAGTGTTAGTCAGGTCCATGGACGGTGAGTGTTAGTCAGGTCCATGGATGATGAGTGTTAGTCAGGTCCATAGATGGTGAGTGTTAGTCTGGTCCATGGATGGTGAGTGTTAGTCAGGTCCATGGATGATGAGTGTTAGTCAGGTCCATGGATGGTGAGTGTTAGTCTGGTCCATGGATGGTGAGTGTTAGTCAGGTCCATGGATGATGAGTGTTAGTCAGGTCCATGGATGGTGAGTGTTAGTCAGGTCCATGGATGGTGAGTGTTAGTCAGGTCCATGGATGATGAGTGTTAGTCAGGTCCATGGATGGTGAGTGTTAGTCAGGTCCATGGACGGTGAGTGTTAGTCAGGTCCATGGATGATGAGTGTTAGTCAGGTCCATGGATGATGAGTGTTAGTCTGGTCCATGGATGGTGAGTGTTAGTCAGGTCCATGGATGGTGAGTGTTAGTCAGGTCCATGGATGGTGAGTGTTAGTCAGGTCCATGGACGGTGAGTGTTAGTCAGGTCCATGGATGATGAGTGTTAGTCTGGTCCATGGATGGTGAGTGTTAGTCTGGTCCATGGATGATGAGTGTTAGTCAGGTCCATGGATGGTGAGTGTTAGTCAGGTCCATGGATGGTGAGTGTTAGTCAGGTCCATGGACGGTGAGTGTTAGTCAGGTCCATGGATGATGAGTGTTAGTCTGGTCCATGGATGGTGAGTGTTAGTCTGGTCCATGGACGGTGAGTGTTAGTCAGGTCCATGGACGGTGAGTGTTAGTCTGGTCCATGGCCGGTGAGTGTTAGTCTGGTCCATGGATGGTGAGTGTTAGTAAGGTCCATGGATGGTGAGTGTTAGTCTGGTCCATGGCCGGTGAGTGTTAGTCTGGTCCATGGATGGTGAGTGTTAGTCAGGTCCATGGATGGTGAGTGTTAGTCAGGTCCAGGTGTGGAGGGTCATAATCATGTGTGCCAAGGTAGGATACACTCTCAGAGTGTGTTGGAACACATCATCTTAACGTTAATAAAAATGTTAATGTTTAATAATGAGAGTGAAATTATCCCAATATTTGGGTGAAAATGAAGATAACATTTACAAATTATTGATTGTTTTCTCCAGGTGGTCGAATACACATCTTTCTCGTCAATGAAAAAAAGGACTATTAAAATGGATGAAAATTATCCGGGTGTTAACAGGAAGAAAGGCGGTTTCATTAGGAAAGGTATGTGTTATATTTTCCTGAAAATCATTATTGGCTAGACAGTCATGTGTAATATTTGGTTATGTGTTATATTATTATTATTCCGTGTTCATTGTGGCGTATGTGAGTCATATTGTGTACTTGTGACTGAATTCGAACAATCATTTTGTTTCTCTTTACCTAAAGTTTGTTAAGGTTACGGAGTAATTGTCTGGAGCTCTATACCTAGAGTTTGTCAAGGTCACGGTGTAACTGTCTGGAGCTCTATACCTAGAGTTTGTCAAGGTCACGCAGTAATTGTCTGGAGCTCTATACCTAGAGTTTGTCAAGGTTACGGTGTAACGGTCTGGAGCTCTATACCTAAAAATTGTCAAGGTCACGCAGTAATTGTCTGGAGCTCTATACCTAGAGTTTGTCAAGGTCACGCAGTAATTATCTGGAGCTCTATACCTAGAGTTTGTCAAGTTCACGCAGTGATTGTCTGGAGCTCTATACCTAGAGTTTGTCAAGGTCACGCAGTAATTGTCTGGTGCTCTATACCTAGAGTTTGCCAAGGTTACGGTGTAACTGTCTGGAGCTCTATACCTAGAGTTTGTCAAGGTTAGGGTGTAACTGTCTGGAGCTCCATACCTAGAGTTTGTCAAGGTTACGGTGTAACTGTCTGGAGCTCTATACCTAGAGTTTGTCAAGGTCACGGAGTAATTGTCTGGAGCTCTATACCTAGAGTTTGTCAAGGTCACGCAGTAATTGTCTGGAGCTCTATACCTAGAGTTTGTCAAGGTCACGCAGTAATTGTCTGGAGCTCTATACCTAGAGTTTGTCAAGGTCACGCAGTAATTGTCTGGAGCTCTATACCTAGAGTATGTCAAGGTCACGCAGTAATTGTCTGGAGCTCTATACCTAGAGTTTGTCAAGGTTACGGTGTAACTGTCTGGAGCTCTCCAGGTTTACATTCCTCATTTGCATTTCATAGTTTGCAAACATTAACATTTACAAAGATACTCCCTCAGGAAGGTCATTCACATAAACTAGAAACAGCTGAGGCTACAAAGATACTCCCTCAGGAAGGTCATTCACATAAACTAGAAACAGCTGAGGCTACAAAGATACTCCCTTAGGAAAGTCATTCACATAAACTAGAAACAGCTGAGGCTACAAAGATACTCCCTCGGGTAGTTCATTCACATAAACTAGAAACAGCTGAGGCTACAAATATACTCCCTCAGGTAGTTCATTCACATTAACTAGAAACAGCAGAGGGTCCTCGGATCCTTGGAGGAACTCCCCTTGTTACCTCCTCGAACTCGAAACCTCTTCTCTGACTCTCTGTTTTCTGTCCTTCAGGTCGTACTTCACCCAGTACAGTGTTTTTCCTAAAGTCTTGTATGCTAGCGTTTCATGAGGAGGATAATCAAAAGCTCTAGATAATATAGGAAAATACAATCTGCCCAACCTTCCTTTCCTGCCTTATTTAGTAACCATGCCATTCTTGGGGTTATCTTGAGATAATTTCGGGGCTTTAGTGTCCCCGCGGCCCGGTCCTCGACCAGGCCTCCACCCCCAGGAAGCAGCCCGTGACAGCTGACTAACACCCAGGTACCTATTTTACTGCTAGGTCCGCTCGGCCGACCGGCCATAAGTTACTCCATAAATTTTTATGGAAGTGTCTTTTCCCAATTAAATTCGTGCTGCTGTTTATCCGCTGAAGATGTTCAATTATTTTCAACTTGGTTTCTTTTTTCCATCACTTTACATGGAATATTGTCAGTGAGACTGATGTGTAATTTAGTGGCTGCTGACGGCCCCGATTTTTGAGTATTGAACAATCAGTAGAGTGTGAAATACTATCTGTCTCTGGGTCACCTGTATCTGTTCTTTCCGGTCCCAAGCAGGCACTGTGGTTGGATGCAGCTCCAACTCTGGGTAAGGTTGATGCCTGGATACCTGCACTGTCACTAATCCCACCAATGCCTCTCACCATCTACATCTCACTAGATCCCATGGGGACCAGATCCTAGTGCAGGTGTGGGCAACCCATCAAAGGTAACCCTTGGGACACGTGACAAAGGTGCCATGCCAACGACTTTTCTTCCTGGCACGTGACATTCAGGGATCACCTTTAAAAATAAAGAAATATCCAACTTCTTTGCTGAGTTGTATATTTTAACTTAATAATATACAATATATGTTAGGTATAGCACTAAAGTAAATACAAATGTAATAAAGCAACAAACACTGGCAACTGTTTTAGTAATAATAAGAAGAAAATGAAAAACACATCATATTGCCACGTCATGTACACGATATACTGACGTACAAGTTTCGTTTCGTTCAGTTGTTGCAACATTCGCCAGGCGGCCAGACATCACGTGACCCCTTTACCACCATCGCAGGTAGGCTTATGATTGTACTAATGTTTGCCCTGCTTACCCACAGACTGATTATCATAAAGCCTTATAGGAGTATACAGAGTGTGATCATGATGAGATTTTCTGAATTGTGTAATTTTTATGTATTACTCATAAGGGATGGATTATGTGGGGAAAACCTGCCGGGATTAATGTGAGAGGAGAACTAGAAGGGACTTGTACTGAACTAAATTAAAAATTACTGTATGCAAAATTAATTCAACTAAAGTCTCTAGTTAGGGTCGTAAATCCGCCTCTTTTTCCTAATGACAGACTATGGGCTGTAAGGGGCAGGTGGGGGTGAATGGGGAAGTTGACTGAAGCTCCACCGTCCACCTGTACCCAACAAATACAAAACATTTTCCGACATTTTCATTTGTTAGTAGAATGGTGACACCATAGCTATTTATATAAAATCGTCTTTTGAACGTATAATATACGTAAATTTCAGTCAACGATATCATAGAGTGAGAGTGTGGGAGAGTGAATGAGAGTGTGGGAGAGTGAATGAGAGTGTGGGAGAATGAGTGAGAGTGTGTGAGAGTGAGTGAGAGTGTGGGAGAGTGAATGAGAGTGTGGGAGAATGAGTGAGAGTGTGTGAGAGTGAGTGAGAGTGTGTGAAAGTGAGTGAGAGTGTGTGAGAGTGAGAGTGTGTGAATGAATGAGAGTGAGTGGTGGCTACCGCCCGCCACCACCTGCCACTGCTCGCCACCACCCGCCATCATCCACCACCGCCAGCCACAGTCGCCAACGCCCACTACCGCCCGCCACCGCCCGCCATCACCCGCCGTTACCTGCCACAGCCGCCACAACTCGCCACCACCGGCCACCGCCCGCCACCGCCCGCCACCACACGCCACCACACGCCACCACACGCCACCGCCCGCCACCACCCGCCACCGCCCGTCACCACCCGCCACCACCCGCCATCACCCGCCGTTACCTGCCACAGCCGCCACAACTCGCCACCACCGGCCACCGCCCGCCACCGCCCGCCACCGCCCGCCACCACACGCCACAGTCTGTCACCACCCGCCACCGCTAGCCACAGTCGCCATCACCAGCCACAGTCGCCACTGTCTGCCATCACCCGTCACAGCCGCCACCACCCACCACAGCCACCACAACCCGCCACCCCCCGCCACAGCCACCACAACCCGCCACCACCCGCCACAGCTGCCACAACCCGACATCACCCGTCACAGCCACCACAACCCGCCACCACCCACCACAGCCACCACAACCCGCCACCGCCCGCCACAGCTGCCACAACCCGCCACCGCCCGCCACAGCTGCCACAACCCGACATCACCCGTCACTGCCGCCCGTCACCGCCCGCCACCACCGCCATAGCCGCCAGCACCCACCAAAGCCACGACCGCCTGCGGCCGCCGCCACAGTCGCCAGCACCTCTTCCACCGCCACCATAGCCGCCCCCGCCCGCCTCTGCCACCACAGCCGCCTGTGCCCGCCAACACCACCACAGCCACCAAAGCCGCCACAGCTGCCACAGCCACCAAAGCCGCCACAGCTGCCACAGCCACCAAAGCCGCCACAGCTGCCACAGCCACCAAAGCCGCCACAGCTGCCACAGCCGCCACAGCTGCCACAGCCACCACAGCTGCAACAGCTGCCACAGCTGCCACAGCCACCAAAGCCGCCACAGCTGCCACAGCCACCAAAGCCGTCACAGCTGCCACAGCCACCACAGCTGCCACAGCTGCCACAGCCACCAAAGCCGCCACAGCTGCCACAGCCACCAAAGCCGCCACAGCTGCCACAGCCACCAAAGCCGCCACAGCTGCCACAGCCACCACAGCTGCCACAGCCACCAAAGCCGCCGCAGCTGCCACAGCCACCAAAGCCGCCACAGCTGCCACAGCCATCAAAGCCGCCACAGCTGCCACAGCCACCAAAGCCGCCACAGCTGCCACAGCCGCCACAGCTGCCACAGCCACCAAAGCCGCCACAGCTGCCACAGCCACCAAAGCCGCCACAGCTGCCACAGCCACCAAAGCCGCCACAGCTGCCACAGCCACCACAGCTGCCACAGCTGCCACAGCCTCCAAAGCCGCAAGAGCTGCCACAGCCACCAAAGCCGCCACAGCTGCCACAGCCACCAAAGCCGCCACAGCTGCCACAGCCACCAAAGCCGCCACAGCTGCCACAGCCACCAAAGCCGCCACAGCTGCCACAGCCACCACAGCTGCCACAGCTGAAACAGCCTCCAAAGCCGCAAGAGCTGCCACAGCCACCAAAGCCGCCACAGCTGCCACAGCCACCAAAGCCGCCACAGCTGCCACAGCCACCAAAGCCGCCACAGCTGCCACAGCCACCAAAGCCGCCACAGCTGCCACAGCCACCAAAGCCGCCACAGCTGCCACAGCCACCAAAGCCGCCACAGCAGCCACAGCCACCACAGCTGCCACAGCCACCACAGCTGCCACAGCTGCCACAGCCACCAAAGCCGCCACAGCTGCCACAGCCACCAAACCCGCCACAGCTGCCACAGCCACCACAGCTGCCACAGCCACCAAAGCCGCCACAGCTGCCACAGCCACCACAGCTACCACAGCTGCCACAGCCACCAAAGCCGCCACAGCTGCCACAGCC